TTTCCTTTTGTTATTGGAGCCGGGACCAGAGCCGGTGTGCCAGCGAGGGCGCTGGACTCCCTTGAGGGGGGTGGATTGTGAAGTCCCACATCGGTTAGGAAGGAGAACGAAGCATGCCATATATATGGGTGTGGATACCTTCCTTGTGTGGACGCGTTTTGGGGTGGCATGCGTGCCATTGCCAGAAGCAAAACCGTGAGGGCTGCGGCCAAAGCGGACAATATCCACATGCGGGTTGCTGGGGTGTTACATTAATCATGAGCCAACCAATCTCTGCTGGAACTGAAATTAATCCCAATTCTGGTCCCACTCCTAGAACAGAAATGTTTAAGGCCACTGGTGACAATATTGATGTCTTTTGGAAGTGGAACAACTTAAAAGACAAAAATAATAGGAAGAGTGTCACGTGTGATTTTTGTCTGAAAACATCTACTGGTGGAATTACTAGAGCAAAAAGACATCAACTTGGAATAAAAGGCGATGTAGGTGCTTGTAGAAAAATTCCTGAGGATCTAAAATTGGAAATGAAGGCTGCCTATGAGAGTAAAAAAATTGCCTCAGAAGTATATATGGAGTGCGTAGATGAAAATGAAGAGGAGGATGACATCCAAGCCATTGCTAGAATTAAGAGACCTTCATCTACATCAAGTGAAGCCACTTCTGTTTCCAAGAAGAGGGGTATAAATGTCAAAGGTCCCCTTGATTTGCACTTTACTAGAAAGGCAGAAGAAAGTATCAAATTGAATAAGGGGTTGTGGCAAACAAGTTTAAATGATGCTTGTAACAAGGAAGCAAGAGCAAGGGTAATTCAATACATTGCTCGCTTTTTTTATCGGAATGGAATTGCATTTAATGTTGCTAGATCAAAGAGCTTCAAATTGATGGTTGAAGCTATTGGCACCTATGGTCCCCATTTAAAGCCACCAAGCTACCATGAATTAAGAGTGCCACTCCTTAAAAAAGAGTTGGAATACACCAAGGGCTTATTGAAGGGCCATGAAGAAGAGAGAGTAAAATATGGGTGCTCAATTATGTCTGATGGTTGGACAGATAGGAAAAGTAGAACTTTGATTAACTTTTTGGTTAATAGTTCAATGGGAACAATGTTTGTGAAGAGTGTGGATGCTTCTGAATATACCAAGACCGGTGAGAAGGTATTTGAACTTTTAAATAGTTTTGTTGAGGAAATTGGAGAGAAAAATGTTGTTCAAGTAGTAACAAATAATGGAAGCAATTATGTTATGGCGGGTAAGAATCAATTATATTCTAATTTTATACTCATACGATTATAAGATATAAATTCTAATTTTAATTATTTTGTTATTGTGTTTTTAGGCAAAATTTTACAAACTGTGAGACCACATTTATTTTGGACTCCATGTGCTGCTCATTGTCTTGATTTGATGCTAGAAGATATTGGAAAGATCCCTAAAGTCAAAAGGGTAATACAAAGAGGCATCAAGCTCGTGGGTTACATTTATAATCATACCTTGACCCTAAACACCATGAGGAAGTATACAAATAAGGTTGAATTGGTGAGGCATGGAGTTACAAGATTTGCTACCACCTTCCTTACTTTGCAACGATTGCATAAGTTAAAGGCAAATCTTAGAAGGATGTTTACTTCCGACGAATGGTTGCAATCAAAAGGAGCCAAAGAACCTAAGGGGAAGAAAGCAACGGAGATTGTTCTTATGCCTACATTTTGGAGTGATGTTGTTTATGCTTTAAAGGCTATGGGGCCTATTGTACGTGTGTTGAGGTTGGTAGATAATGAAAAAAAACCGGCAATGGGTTACATTTATGAAGCAATGGAGAGGGCTAAGGAGGCAATTCAAAATTCTTTTAATCATAATGAAGAAAAATATAAGGATATATTTGCAATTGTTGATAGAAGATGGGATTGTCAACTCCATCATCCGTTGCATGCAGCAGGATATTATCTAAATCCTGAGTTTTATTACAAAAATTCAACAAGAATGGATGCTGATGATGAAGTGGTGGATGGCCTTTTCAAATGTATTGATAGGCTTTGTGAAAATAATGACATTGTAGACAATGTTCACAATCAATTGGCAATATATAAAAGGGCAGGAGGAAGATTTGGCATTCCTGCAACAGTTAGAGCAAGGGTTAAAATGGCTCCTGGTAAGTGAGACTTTTCTTAAGCTTCAACTTCACTTACAAATTTTATAGTTATTTGATAATTTATTTATATAATAATATTTGCATTTATAGCTGAGTGGTGGAAGATGTATGGAGGACATACACCACATTTGCAAATTGTTGCCATTAAGGTACTAAGCTTGACGTGTAGCTCATCTGGTTGTGAGCGTAATTGGAGTATCTTTGAGCATGTAAGTTAATGAATTAGTGGATTTAAATTTGAGTTTACTATTGAAAATGAAAAATTAACTAACATCATTGTTAAATTATTATAGATTCACTCAAAGAAGAGAAGTAAGCTTGAGCACCAAAAGCTTCAAGACTTGATTTTTATTAAATATAATCAAGCTCTTCAATAACGCTTTGAGTGTCAAGATATAATTGATCCAATTGCTTTAAATGAAGTTGACGATAACAATGAATGGATGTTGGGAGAAGAGAATGATGAGGATGAATTTGAAGATGACTTGGTGTTTGATGATGATGTTTTGACTTGGAGAGATGTTGTCGAAGCAAGTGGTGCTGGTGAACCTTTGAAATACACTAGGAGACAAACACAAGTGAACAAGACATCAACAATTGCATCTACATCCAAGAAAGATAAAGGAAAAAAAGTGATGGAAGTACTAGAAGACGAGGATGATGATGAAGTAGAGGAAGAAGAAGAATATAATTCTAATGTTAGTGGGAGTGATGAATTTGAGGGAGAGGAAGACTTTAATCTTGATGAGGAAGAAGATTAAACTATAATGTTTAATTTTTTACTTACTTAGAACTTTAGCACTTTGTTTTGGAGACATTTTATATTATGTATTGTTTGAGTACTATGAACTTTTAATTATTAAATATTAAAAATGTTTAATGCATGAATTTAGAGTTATTTTTTTTGTTTTTTTAGCTTTTATATATATTATTAATTATTTAATATACATAAATTAATATTAAAATAGCAATTATCCCGTTCCACGTCATCCCGCTATCCCAGTTTTAGTTTTAGGATCGACTGTTCCACTCTGCTATCCAGGATTGACTACTATACTTATAACACAAAATTAATATAATATATTCATTTCAAAATATACTAAAATATAAATACTTTAATTACCTTTAAGTTGTTTAATATTAACAAAATTTGATATACACATAAAATAATATGAACTTTCAATTTAACATTTAAATTTACAAAATTCACATTTAATATTTGAATGATGTAATACTTAATAAAAATTATACATGTGTAATTATAACCCCCAATCTCGTGAACTAGTTCCCATAAAGTCATAAACCCATCCAATTTTTTTGATCAAACATGCACAACACGAACCAACCGCGCACCCCCACCCGTATACCCACCTGTTTTCGCACCAAATAACTCAGAAACCCATAATGTGTTGTATTAGCTTATTCTATTATTGCCCAATACAACGTGCCAATGTCCTTTGTGTGTTTGTCTTACCTAATGCCCTTTGCTTTGTCTTTTGTCTAACTTCTACAATTAAATCAATGGCAGAAACACAACTTCAGGATGTTGGGAAAAAAGCCAGAGATAAATCTGGTCACCTTCCCAGATTTCCCCCAACGAGGCAACTATTAAGAATCTAAATACATAAAAATAAATGTAAACTGCAAAAGATTGACAGGGATATTCATTTAAAATGAATTAATAGAAACCAAGCAAATAAAATAAGTAGCGACTTCCATCCATAAACATAGTACGAAACTCTGCTTTTCCAATATTAAGGTTCAAAGTGGCTGGCATAAAACAGTACAGTTTCATATTTGTTTTGACCAATTCAACTCTATTTATTTACTACTATGGTAGAGAATAAGCAAAATATCTTGGAGATGAAATAGTGGCTTAGCCCATGGCATATTTCTGAGTCCATGACCGAGCAGTGGCCTCATACTTGGGTCTGTCAGTCTTGTACATATGAGCAATCTCAGGCACCAAAGGATCATCTGGGTTGGGATCTGTCAGCAGAGAGCATATAGACAGAAGGACCTGCAAAATTTCAACATTTAAGTATCCCTGACAAGAAAATTGATTATTAAAAATAAATAAATAAATAAAAACTATCAGATTACCTTGGATATTGTGAGGGCAGGGCTCCATTGCTCTTTGAGGATGTCAAGGCAGATACTACCATTACTGTTGATATTAGGGTGGAAAACCTTTGTGCGGAATGAAACCTTAGCATGATGAAAAATGAATGTCAGACAAACCACACGCACATGGTGGAATTATTAAATGCTCCAATCAAATGCCAAATCAAACCAACCACAGAAATGAAAAAATTGGCAGTAATTATCTCTACAATCCTTGAATATTCCCCACTCACCCCAACCAACCATTTTTTTAGCAATCTATGTTCTTGTTGTCGATTTTTTTTTTTTTGTCTTGCCATGGGTATCTCTGTGCTCACTAGGCCAGAGACAGTACTGTAACTGTCACCAGCTCGATGGATTTTCCCACACAGCAAAAATTGAAAACAGATTCCCCAATAGTTGGGTCGTCTCCACAATGTGAACATATGTTCAAGTAGTGGTAACTGATAATGATTCCCAACATTACTGACAAAAGTAAAAATAAAATAAAAACAGACAGTCCACAAAAGAACAAATCAATGATCAGTTGAGTTAATTAGATATGTAACATGGTCCACGACAAATCGTTCAATCCACCGCAATTGAGAATGAATTGACTTTCAGGAATTCTTCATCAATTTCAATAAACCATTAGTCCTTTACTAAACACAAGCTTGGATTTACTAAATTTCGCATCTATCAATAGATTCCCATTGGCTTATGCAGCTTAAAGTTAAACTTACAACTCTCAATGGAAAAAATCTCATAAAGGAAATCTGTGAAGCCATTGAATCAAAAAATATCATGATTATAACCCAAAAGAAAGTTGTCCCATAAGTGTGCGCATAAATATAGTCAGACACACGCAAAGTTTGAATAAAGTAGATTTTTTATTTACCTTGGGTGGTTTGAAGGGATAATCAGGAGGGAAATGAATTGACACAAGAAACACACCTCCAGCAAATGGGCTATCTGCAGGGCCCATAATTGTAGCTTGCCAATGGAACATGTCATCAGCCACTGGGCCTGAACATAATAAAAATTCAATTATTCATACACTTACTGAAAACAGTCAAAAGTTCTGACAGGTTTTAAGCAAACGAGAACCATTCGAGTCACTATCCTTTACTATGGCATTATTTTATTACTTTTACCATCAAGAACCAACTACCTAACCTGTGGTGCAACCCACCTCCAAATTTCAAATTTTCTAATTTACTAGTTGCAAAAGAATCAGGGCAACCACACACGTTGGTTACTATATCTCATAGACTTATTGTTAGAACTACCAACACAAACAAACACCCATACATACAGCCACAGGTGTATGTACACAACAAAGTAATCATTAAAAAAACATTGTCAAACACTCAAAAGATTATAAAAAATAAAAAGTTAAAGGACATAACTAAGTCCATCACAGGGCAATATTTTTTTTATCAGTAAAAAAGCTTAAAATGACGACACCAACCCTAAGGTTGTCCATATTACCCCAACCCCAACACAGTGCAACATAAATCACCATTATGTGCATCAAGGCATTAAATTTTATAGCGTTTTTCTTCATAAAACTGAAAAAAGAAAAATTTTGAACAAGTCCAAAACCCTTGCCACCGAGGCCAAAATCATGGTGGTGGACCCTTTTAAGAAAAGATTATTTTAAGACCTCGGGTAGTCCATAATTGCACAGTTTACAACACATTGGGTCAATCAAAAGCAAAATTCCACACCAAGATTACATTTTGAATCATCCAACAGCTGCGTGAATATTTAATTGAACAAGTGAAGAGCCAGAAAAAAGAGAGAAACATACCAGCACTGCAGGATGCAGGAGGATCTTTCTGCAGGTCCTTCAATTCCTTGTTGATTCGCTTTGATGCCATCTGATCAACACTGTTGACATTCACAGTGAAATATATATTTAAACACAAGCGCACACACACGCAACAATAGTAAAGTAATTATATATGCAAAGGAAATAGATGATTTAGAAGAAGAAGAAGAAAAGATGAAAGCAGAGGAGTGAGGAGAAAATAAGAGAACCTTGTTGGTGTTGTTGAGTTTAGGGTTTGGGGTTTGAGAGTGCGGTGGTGAAATTGAAGAAGGAAAATAGAAGACGCGTATCGAATGCGTGTGGAAGTGAAGGCGTTAAGTGCTGAAAATACGTACTCTCTCGCCTTCGCTTCTTGCCACGCACAGGGTTACCTGGCACACACCTATACGACCATATTTCTTTCGTCTTTTCAATTTCTTTTCTTAATATATAAATTATAAACAACCATATATATTATATTATATACCACCAGCTATCTTAACCAACAACATATTTATAACATTTTTTTAATCAAAATATTTTTTTACAGATTCTTTTCATTTTTATCTATTATATTTATTTATATTATCAATTTAATATTTTAAATTAAATCAATTAAATCTTACATATAATATAGGAATAACTATTTTGTACTATACAGATTTTAAGATATTTTCTTGGTTTAAAATATTTTTAACTTATTATAATTATTTATAAATTAAATTGAAATATTTTAATATAAATT